ACAAAATATTTCATAAAAATCGGTCCAGCCGTCTAGAAGGAGTTCAACTACAAACACATGGGCAGAAAATTTTTATATTGTATATAAAGAAGATTAGTTGTCAAGTGCACTTCTTCTGTTCTGTTCGTGCGGAGGTTACGGAGCATTTGCGGATTATGAGAACGTCGACGAATATATTCTTCTCTTCAGCAAAAACGTGGCATTTTTTTGTAGAAGCAGTATACTATGAAAAATACTAACTGCTAATGTTTATAACTTCTAGAAGGAAAAGTTTACAGAACTAAACAAATTTATTGTAATTATAATTTGATCATAATATCAAGAATAATTTATAAATAAATAAACTCGTTGTTAAAACATTATTTACTTGATCGAATTGTGAACCTAAACCCCCCTTAAACCCCCTTTAATACACAGAAAATATTTCATCAAAATTGGTCCAGCCGTCTAGAAGGAGTTCAACTACAAACACAAGGACAGAACATTTTTATATCTATTTATCTACTGTTCTGTTCGTGCGGTGGTTACGGACCATTTGCGGATTATGAGAACGTCGACGAATATATTCTTCTCTTCCGCAAAAACGTGGCATTTTTTTGTAGAAGCAGTATACTATGAAAAATACTAACAGCCAATGTTGATAGCTTCTCGAAGTAAAAGTTTACAGGACTAAACAAATTTATTGTATTTATAATTTTATTTCATTGAAATTTTATCTCTGATATCTAAAAAAATCTAAAAAAATTGGACGTTAGGATAGTTATGCGGGTTAGGAAAATTTTCTGTAGGGTTATGTAAAATATGTAACAGTAAAAAATTTCAAAAAAAATAGCTTCAAATAATACCCGTAAGAAGAAAGTGATAGAATTTAAAATATTTGAACACTGATGCTGCAACTAACCAATTCATGTACCTTCCATCCATAGCAACCTTTCTTATAATAGCGCCATGTAAGCACAAAGTTGTAACCGCTTGTCCATGCTGTTAGGGACGGTTGTCCCACAGAAACCAGCGGCGATTTGGTTTTTTACGTAAAACCGGCTGGGCTCATTTCTCGTTACTATACTAGGTTGCCAGTATAGTCTTTCTTAAAGTAATATTAAAAAATCGAAGATAATGCGTAGTTTTTTTCAAAAGAAATGAAAACTTAATTCGTAATTAATTATTTGTTACCATATAGATCATGTATATTTGAAGAATATGTGATAGGCCTACCAACAACGCAACGCATAACTGTCCTCCTGCATGCGGAATTGAATATAAAAGGAGCAGCATGAACAGTGGTAGATGGCTGACGCGAAAACGCTGCCAATAGAAATATATGGTGTGACGTGAAAACGCTACCAATACGCTAATGTTAATATATGCTGTTACGAAATGATTATGGCATACGGTGTTTTGTACAAACGCTACCAGTAGGAAATTTAAGTAGTAAAGACAACTGTGTTAAAGTAGAACCACTCTTGTTGTTTTGTACTTTTCCTTCTTGATAGCCCAGCTATAGACCGTAGAACTGGGCTCGATACAACTGGCGTGATACAGATGCAAGTGCGAAGCACAATAACATTTATGGAAGAAATGTTTACGTAGAGAGAAAAAAAATATATATAAAAATACTCAACCGATTTCGGTCTGTCGAATTCAGGTCGACGAGTTACGGAAACGCCTCGCTACGTTCCTGCAGAAGACGGGCGAAAATTAGAGTCTGCGGGATCGGGTCACAGACTTATCGTTGAGACACGCGAAATTGTCCGTAATAACAAACACACTTACACCGAAGCAAAAAGCGTCTCTACAGATGCATTAGGTACAGCAACCCAGTAACGACAACGGCAATGGAATGGCACCTCGTATGATAGAGGCGTATACCTACGTCTGCCCACAGTTTTCTCATTGATCAGTGATGGATTGCATTAGCAAGTGGGGTGTGAGATATAACGTCGGCAATGACCCACTGGGTTTCATCGAACGCGTCGAGGAATGAGCACACGGCTACGAAGTCGAGTTGAACGCATTTGATGGTTTTACCAGAGCTACTCAAGGACAGAGCCTCGGTCTGGCCTCGAAACAACCACATCCAATGGCAAGATTAGGAAAGTTTCAAATGGGAATTTCAAAAGCTTTTCTTGAATTATCGTTATTTTGAATGGCTAAATGATGAAATCAGGCAACGTATGCAACGACCAAATGAGGAATTCAAAGATTATGAACTCGCTGTATATAAAAAAGATCGAGCTCGGCACCTTGCTCAAACTTTTATGTCTGGCCGAAGACTGCGAGAATATCATGCGAGAAAGTGAGCCATCTCGGCTTGCACCCAGAATAATGATGCCTAGGCGAAATAATTCGAAATTATTCGATAAGAAGAACGTCAGTATGCGCCGTAAACAGAAGCATTGATTCCACGACCGCAACAGGAATACCGGCAGCCTAGAGACGAGGAGCCAGCCGAATGAATCTACGAATGGCGTGTAGACGATGTGACCAACATCCTTATGAGTTGGACCAACAAGAAGAGTGATCAAGAAGGTGGTGATGGGAGATGGTAGATCGAGAGCGGTCACTGAAGCAGTGAAAGCAGTCATACAGTTAGGCGACAAAGAGCGAGCTACTTGTCCTGCCCGGCATAATCGATGACGTGGTCCTCAGGACAGATTACTTGGGAAAAGTCAACAGAACTATTAGCAGCGGAGGGTAAATAATTAAATTGAAGATAGAGGGTGAGACGCGAGTGAAAACTTCATCTTCGACTATGAAGGTCTACGAAGGAAGAAAATTTATAACAAACGAAACGTTAGTAAAGGTGATAAAACAACAAAGCAGCGGCATTCACCGAAAGACCTGAACAAGCTATGTACGTCGAAAAACAAACAATACACATTCCATTGTATGAAGATAGAGCAGCCAAACATAGTGGTCGAAGAAACTGAAGCGACCAGCTGCTGATGGCTAAAGACCAAAATAGAGAAGTTAATACGGCTCCCAGACTACATGCTACAAAGCGGAGAATTTTATCGCCACATATATGTAAAAATATATGAAAAAGACGTCACTCCGTGGAAGCTTTTCGTAGCAACTCCATTACGTCACAATGTAATCAACGAATTTCATGACAGTCCCAATCAAAGGCAGCTAGGCATTAAGGAAACTATTGCAAACGCCATCACGATATTACTGGCCGAGAATGTTCAGGGGTATTAAGAGCTACATATAGCAGTGCCCCAGATATCAAATAATTGAGCCCAGCGAGCAAAGAGGTGCTGGCACAGGCGAGGCAAGAACAACTCTGGTAGTAGACAAGGCGACAAAGAATCTAAGAGAAAGAATAAGCCGAAGAAACAAGGAAGCAGAAGAATCAGAATCTGAAGAAGACTCCGCACAGAACAAGAGTCAAATAAGAAGAAATCGAAGAGTCGGAGAAGAAGAAGAAGCCGAAGAACGGAGAAATAAACAGAAGTTGTAGAACACGAACACAGAACAGAAAGGTGAATAAAACACGTCCTTACGGCAAGTAAAGGAGAAGGTGTGAAGATCTTAAGCCAAAGGCCTTGGAGCCTTCATAATAACAGCAACAACAACAACTAGATGAAGGAGAGAAGTTAAGTATATATATACTTATGAAATTAAAATATCATATGAGTTTGAAATATTTAAACACTAAATCAAATCATCTCGTACTAGCATAGCGAGCTTCCTCTGCTAAGTAGAACAAAAGAGAATAGGCGGTAGGCATACTAAAATCACAACGCATGACTGTTATCTTCAAGTAGAATCGAGTATAAAAAGGCCAGCGTCAGCAGTAATATATCACTTCCGTTTGTGCTGTCGTAGCTAGTGTATGTTGTGTGCCATGCAAACGCTACCAATAGAAGTATGTAGAAGTATATGGTTTACGTGAACACAATGCCAGTACGATGACGATTTAGGTATATGGTGTGTCGTGGAAAATGCTACAAGTAGTAATAAACTGTGTTAAAGTAGAACCACTCGTACTGTCCTTTGCTTTTCTCTTTTGAAATCAGCATTATAGGAGAAACTTATAATCCGGCTGAGTGATAGCCCAGCAATAGACCGTAAAACCGAGTCCTTACAATGTCTTTAACTTAATTTATTTTCCACTTTTAGGAACCTTTTTCTATTTATAGCTCAAAATATACGACACCCTTCCAATCCCACCAAACAGACAGCATAACCTTCTTTTGGTGGATATCAGCCTTTGAAGTGGTTTGAGCTGGTTCACCATGCTTGGACCATGATCGTTTTCGACTAACATTGTTGTAAACAATCCATTTTGCATCTCCAGTTATGATTCGTTTTAAAAACGGATCGAATTCATTGCGTTTAAGGTGCATATCACAAGCGTTGATTCGGTGTGTTAAATGAATTTCTTTCAATACATGTGGTACCCAAATATCAAGCTTTTTCACCAGTCCAAGACTTTTTATGTGATATGAACGGTTGATTTTGGTATATTTAACTTCTCTCCTATCTCACGCTCAGTTACATGACGATCCAATTCGATTAATGCTTTGATTTGGTCATCATCAACTTCATTTGGCCGACCTGAACGTGGCTCATCTTTAAGTGAAAAATCTCCAGAACGGAATTCGCAAAACCAATTTTGACACTGTCTTCCTTTTAAGGATTCATCACCATACACATCTCAAAACTTTTTAGCAACCTGCTCCGCGTTTTTTCCTTTACGGAAATAATAAAGTAAAATATGACGAAAATGCTCCTTTGTGGGCTCCATTTTAAAATTGAAGCCAAACAAACAAATGTAAACAAAATTTCGCGCACTTTTTTTTTAAAGCAAGCTAAAGGTAGCAACTGATAACTGACAGAAGAAAGAATGCAATTACAGAGTCACAAGCCGTTGAAAAAATTTGTCAACGCCGACTATATGAAAAATCCGCAATTACTTTTTGGGCAACCCAATATATACATTGTATTAGCAGATTTAAACATTTTTTTAGTTATTTTTTCATATTTAATTACAGCCACATCTTGAAAATATGCGGATCTTTGCGTTAACATTCAGTATCTGTAAAACTTGCTGCGGGAAAGAAGAGAAAATTACATTACTGCAACGCAACTCTAACAAAAACTCGAGCATAAAGTCACTTCACTTGTGTAAACTATAATAATTATACATTATTTGCGTTAACATTCAATATCTGTAAAACTTGCTGCGGGAAAGAAGAGAAAATTACATTACTGCAACACAAACGCTAACAAAAATTCGAGCATAAAGTCACCTAAGTCACCCCTGTCCCAATTGCATCATCATCTAAGCAGTAATAATGCAACCAATGTGGCCCACGGCAGCCGTTGCTGCTGCTCATATTCAAGCAGCTTTAGCTGCAGCCGCTGCTGTTACCAATGAAAATAATAGTAAAAACACCGTTTGTTCAATAAGCTGCGAGGTTACAAAGGTTTCCACTGCCAGTACTATTGCAGGTATCAGAAAGAATAATTATAATCTTGGTAATACCAGTACGAAAAAGTGCATGACTGTTACAAAGTTATTAAATCATGCTGATAGTAGCTTAGCGGTTATAATGCCCTCTTCTACTTTGATGCCAATGTTACCATATTCAACCGATGTTGGTGTTACTCCGCCAGAGTCTCCCATAAATCAATTTTATTCTAAATATCAGGAGTCATCCTTAGATGTGGACGATACTATAAGCTCAAATGGACCGTCTGAATCGCTTTCAAATGATATAAGCACTTATGCCAGTGACGAAAGAGAGCAAGACAATGGGTTGGAAACAGATACACCATTGAATTTGACAACACATAAATTTTTACAGCGCTCATCGCTGCCATGCTTTACAACTAGCTCACCTGGATTGCAACAACAGCAACGCGAAGTATTGACTGTAATGCCTTCTTCTTCTCCGATATTATGGTCAGCACCAGCAGAGGTATTTTCTACAGGGAATGGGACAATCAAGGCCGATGAAAATGTAACTTCCCTGCAGTTAAACGATTCCATAAGAATAGCAGCAGCTGCCGCAGCTGTTGCAGCAGCAGGTTTGCCATGTCAGTTCTTACCATATACTAAGCATCAATTGAAAAATCGAATCAACGTAACAGCTGGTGCTGCAACAATTGAATGTATATCGTCTTGTAGTGATCAGATCCGCTCTCATTCCAATAATAACGTGTTTTCAGAAACGGATGCAAGCTTACTAGCTTGTCGGATGTGGAGCGCGGCTGTTAATGGAGCAGAAGAAGTCCCAAGTCCTCCAGTTACCATAAATAGTCAGCAACATCAACAGTTATATCAACAATCGCCAAGCTTAGCTCCTATAGTTCAATTACCCAGCCACTGTAGTCCCGAGAGTAGTAGTAATGAAGAGGATATGGCTGGGAAAAACATGCGCTTACCAAACACAAGCCAACCAAACGCCGATTCTATGCTAAAATGTACAGAAAAAAAGGGTCAAACAATTGTAGAGCAGTTGGAATCATTAGCGCCGCAACAGCACCAAGAAAATAATATGCACAATTCTAGTATAAAGGTGCATAACTTGTCTGTGCATGGACAGTCAGTACTTCAAAAACATCTGCAAAATAAAGAGATTCTTAATACATCAGAATCCATTGACATAATATATGATTCGGGCATTAAAACCAAAAACCCTTCACAAGCGTCAAATAATGCACATTTACATAGTAACGGCAAGCCTCATATTAAACGGCCTATGAATGCTTTTATGGTGTGGGCTAAAGATGAACGGCGAAAAATTTTAAAGGCTTGTCCAGATATGCATAATTCCAATATATCTAAAATACTTGGGGCACGCTGGAAGGCTATGACCAATTCCGATAAACAACCATACTATGAAGAGCAGTCTCGTCTATCAAAACTACATATGGAACAGCATCCGGATTATCGTTACCGGCCACGTCCTAAACGAACTTGCATAGTAGATGGTAAAAAGATGCGTATATCTGAGTATAAAATTTTGATGCGCAATAGACGCGCTGAAATGCGCCAATTATGGTGTCGTGGAAATAATATTTCAGGAGGGGCTACTACCATCAATACATCTTCCAACGGCACTTTGCCAATTCTTAACGGGCCAGAAATAGCTGTTGGAAACAGCATTGCAACTACCTATCATATTCAAGATATTAACACGGTGAAATCAACGCTGGACGTGACTCAACTAGATAATAATGTCATTATAGATGGAGGTGCAGTTACGAATGGAGTGACGTCGAGCAAAGCAAGTTACTATTACCCGCCGAACGGTATGTCACCTTCTGGACTTTTATCTGAAGGTAACACTCCCAGCTTCAGTTCTCACGACGATGATTGAAAAATACTCGTAAAAAATAGCATATATAATTTAATCAAAATATATTACTCAGTCATTTGATTAATTAATTTGAACAAACCGTGTGCCATTCGCAATACTTATACAAAGACCATAAACATTTATACAAAAATGCATATGTACATACAAAAATATATAAGTCTGTATATACATTCATTCGTGCGTAAATACATATTATATACATAACCTCTTCGGATATACCCAAGGTTTCTTTTTGTTAAGTAATTTATTTAGTCAATGTATTATTTTTTACAATTTCAAAACGCTAATGTTTTATATGTTCATCTTTTATATACAAATTGAGTATGTATAAAATTTTAAATTTAAAAAAATTGCTAAAATGTGTCTCATTTTAAACTTGTATCAAACGATTTTGTGCCATATACGAGAAGTAGTAGACTAAATAATTCAGAATGTTATTCGATTATAAGCACCTTGAGTAGTATATCTCAACGCAATTTAAATAAAATGTGAAAATAAAAGCATCTATTATATCTTCTATACATAAACATAGAACAGTCTGTCGTTTTAATTTATTGTTTTAAAAAACAATATGATTAATTTATGTAAGTACTTACAAAAAAAACATGACAACTTTTTTATTAAACGAAACAAATTATGCCAAGTGCCCTATAACTTAGTTATTGTAATTAATACTTTTTTTGGGAATTCGTACAACCCATTTATAACATGTATTTATTAGTGTATCCTTTTTCACAAAACATATATATATATTCGGTGGGAATTATAAACTTTATGCCCCTTGTGATAGCTATATTGATACACATTAGAACTCCTGCAGGGGAAGATACTAGTTGTCAACTAGAATCTAACTAGTTTACATTTTTACGCTAACTAGTTCATCTTCATCCATTTGCCATGTAAGCAACTGGAATTTTTCACACGGCGATGTCCTACGAGCTGACAATTATCCTATTATGCATCAGCTTCATACTAGTTTAATACTAATTCATTTAGGCATGTTGAATTTCTATTTCACAAAAAAAAAACTAAACCACATAGAACTCAGTTCACCAAACCAAGGCTCTCACGCTCCACAGTGAAGACCTTTGACCATCAGACTATCGTTATGATATATGGAGGAAGGAGATCTGCGCACTTCAACATACGAATGTCGTAGAAGTAAAAATTTCTGTTTCACTAAGAATTAAAAAATTCTGTTTTACCAAATATTAAAAAAAAAAATTAAAATGCCTCTAGAGGAGCTCGAACCAGCGCCTAAACGCAGTACAGCGATAACCTCTAACCACGCGGCTATCACAACAATAGAAAATTTGATGTCATTTTGCGCAGTTCAATAGAACTGAACAGAAAGTGGAATTCAGCCGTGGTCTGCCGATATAACAAAAACAAACAGTGGTGAAAGTTGTTATTTCTACCCTTACTGGTGGGCTTCTCTACATATAACGAACTGGGATGATTTCATCTTCACCTCGATATGAAGAATTAACAGAATTGACCATATTCAAACACACCAGAGAACTAATATCTTTGCAAATGTAAATTAACAGCCGCTTTTATTTACTTATATCACATATAAATGACCAAATGGAATTCAAATTTGAAGTCATCAATTAATTACTGATAACATTTTGATAATTTTTAATAAATACGTATTTCGTAAGAACACTTTATTTTAGATGACCTTTGAATATACATATGTACATATACTCTCATACTTATTATGTACAAACATGATGTACTTATGTAACTCTTATTAATTTTTAATTGTACCTATTAGTATTTAATGAGGCATAATAATATATTATATTTACTTAATATTATTAATTTTGTGAGGTAAATAACGAAACAAGTCCAAATTCATTTATACTTTACCATATGAGCCTACGTACATATGTACATAAGTAGTAAGTACGCATGCACACATGCAAATCTATACATAAATTCATATGTACTAATGCTCAATTTGAATTTCTGAATTTTGCTAACTTTATCATCATCGCAAAGAAGTCCTTTAGGGGAGCCGGGGCAAAAGAATGGGCAAATTAAGCCCGTCGTGAAAACAGAGTTATTTTTCTTTTTATTGATAAGTAGCGGAACTAGAGTTTCGCGGCATCATCCGGAGAAGAACCGAAGTAAGGACGCACACTCGACCGAGCAACCGCTAAGTATTATTTTGTTTGTTTATTGTTTGCGTACGTTTTGTCGTGCCGAAAGCGTCAATACCCGCGTTACATCCTTACCCATCCCTTTCGCATCCTGCTCAAATAACGGTGAGTACCGCAGAAAAATTCAATATTGTACAATTAGTTTAAATCAATTTATTAAGATAATATAAAATTAAATTTAATTAAATATAATAAAATTAGCATAAAATAAGCTAATTTTATTTTTATTTTTTATAATCGTTTGGATACAAAATAACAATTAAATTAAATTAAGCATGATATAATAAAAACAATTTTAACCGAATTGAAATAAATTAATAAGGAAATAAAAATAACACTGATCAACTCAAGTTTTGTTTTTATTCCTTTTTTATGTTGAAATACCTCATTTCTTGGTTTCTAACTATGGAAAAATACTGAAACATTACTAAAAGCTTTAACTTTGGATGCATATAGTTTTATTCTTTTGATTATATTTAATTTTTTCATTATTTTAATATGACATACCGTGTTCCACAATTTTATTTTAATGTAAGCCCGATTAGTTCTCGATACTTCGGAAATATGTATTCATTATAAGTATAGCAAGAACAATCGGAATTAATAAAAAATAATTCTGTTTAATGTTATAATTTCCAATTACTTTGTCCATGTGGGTGACTTCGTAATAAAACGAAAACTACAGCAAGGAAAGGAAAGAAAATGGTTGGGCCGGGCTCGAATCTCACCGGACCTTAAATATTCCATTTTGTCTCTTTCTTTTTTTTATTTTTGCATTCAGAAAGGTTTTAGAAAATATTTAAGTTATGCATGGATTTACAACGGACGCTTTTATGTTTACTATTAATATATGTTATATATATATGTATATGTATATATTTTACTGCTTTATGTATTTATGATTTTTTTCTTTCTAATTTGAAGTGGCATAGGTTCAAATCCTACTGTGGGAAATTAATTCTTTCACTTCTCTTTCAAAATGAAATTTTTATCTATTTATTAAATTTTTTAATTGAAATTTAACTAAATAAATTTGTCCATTTTTGTTCGAAATATCAAAAAACTTATATTATTAAGAAGTAGCATGACGGTATCGTAAATAGGCTTTTTGGAAAACAACATTTTTGCACACTCATGTAACATGTTTTGTTGACACCAAAATTTAAATACATTCTTACATATATATGTATATATGTATGTCCAATAAAAGAGGGTGTAGTAAGTTCCTTATAGAATATAGAAGTTTATGAAGGAGTGAAAATCAATCAATCATACATCATTACCATAACTCACTTGTCTCACTTGGAACCAATATGCTCTTGATAATGTGAATGAAATGAACGTTTCCAAAGGATATAGTTTCAATAACTATATTTCTAAAAAAGTTCACTATTATAAAAACATATATAATATCATAAAATAAATTAAAATTACGCTGAAACTATATCTATAATTCTAATAAAGTAATGCAGATAAATGAAATTGTGTAAACAAGACATCGTTCCCATAGCAGCGTGCGCAACGATGTAGTGCACGAACTATACTGGTTTCGTGGCACAGATGTTAAAATGTACGCATTAATTTTTGATGTTTATGTTTATGCTTTAATTTTATTTGGGCTCATCTTTTTTTATTATTTAGGATCAATAATATGAAAATTAACAAATAAATATATTGTTAACAGCATAGTTCCTGAAATAG